GCCAAAGTCATGTTCAATATGTGAATAGTGACAATAGTTAAGGCTGGTCTAATAGTTAGTTAGATATATATATTTTACACATTACATTTTTTTTGCCAATTTTTATACCTTAGGCCACTTAATTTTAAAAATTTAGTTTGCAAATAAGCTATGACTATAGATTTCTCAGGGTTTAAGGCTAAAGGTATAGAAATTTTAATATATTTGGATAATAATCTTAATAGAAACATTTATTGTAATATTTTTGGTTGTTGACAGTTTTGTTTTCTATTCTATGTATTTTTATGCAAGAGCAGCCACCTTATTTTAAAAAAATATCATAGATACTTGACAATTATTTACTTGACAATTATTTTAAAATAATCATTAAGTATTTATAAACTTGATGATTATTACCAAATAAATGTCAAGTATGTGTGAATTATACTTGATGGTTACTTGAAAATAATTGTCAAGTATTCATGACAAAAACTAAGTTTTTCATGCCTAATTTTTACAACTAATAGTTGATGGTTGTTATTAAATAATTGTCAAGTATTTTGGTAATAACTTTTAAGTATTAAAAAAGCAAATATATAAATATATATTTAATGGTAATTTTTAAATAATTATCAAGTAAGGTTTCTAATACTTGACGGTTAAAAATTATCAAGTAAAGGCTGCAAATTGTCAAGTAAGTGTGATGGTTAAAAATTATCAAGTATTGATAAAAATAATTGTTAAATACTGGTGTGTTTTGTGGTAGTGAAGTTGATCTTGAGTATGGTAAAATAACATTTATTTAGTTGTCACTTGATAATTGTTATCTTGTCATGTTCAATTATTAATAAACATTGTGGTATCAGATTGTGCCGTTCCCCTTCTCATCAAAGCACAAGCACAAATGGCTTTCCTTTTTGACTTTGATGTGAAAATTTCGTCGTCTGTTTGCTGGCAGAGAACTTGCTTTCTTTGGGACCAAACCGATGGGTGTTTGGTGGCCATGTTAACGTACGGCTCCAATAGCCCGCACAGAATTTATGTTCACATGCCTGAATTTTGGATTCTACATGTACGAGTGAGGTCAACTTTTGCACATGAACTAGTAGTCCTAGTGTGTTCCACGTAATTTGAAAATTATGGACCATTTATTGTTAATTCAGTTGCTTTATATCAACTTGACCTGCATGCAGGGTATATCCAACGCCACATGATTAAGTTAGCAAGTGCTCCAGGTGTATACAGATGAAACCGAAGCGGCATCACCTGAACACCAATCAATATATTCTAATCAATTAATTGAAAGGATCACTTTCTTTCATCCACTGTATATTTATGAACTATTTCGTTTGTTAGTGTTTCAAAATTCAAAAAGTTATGCATACTTCGTTTTCATCATCATAATCATTGTTTTCTTATAATCCATTATACTAATATAAAAACAGAAACAGGAAGAGTCGACTGCACTCATAGCCATGGGATCAGCATCAGACAGGGACTGTCAAGGAAGTGCATCTTACAGGAGCCTGTGACCACAAAACATGCACTTCACTTCACTTCGATTCCTTTCCGATATAATGACTTTGGACTTTAGAGCCCTTCCAGAACCCCTATCAGGTGTATGTTTCTGAATTACTTGTATAATAAAGTGGGTCTCCTCGGTATCGCATTTTAAGTTTGAAAATGAGTTGTATTTTTTTTTCTTTTGTATATTTGTAAACAGTTTAACTTGTAAGTCTTGTACTTTATATATGGACTATCAATACAGATATCTATAAAACATGACAGACTATAGATATTGTTATGATTAATGCAACAACGTGAAACAGACGGAAAGGAACCCAAATAAGTAGAGATGCAGGTAATTAAATGTCCCTTTTAGAGCGTCAGTGAGTTAGGTTGTGCCTGGAACCGAAGCAATTAATCTTGCCCTACCATCGTTGTAACTCGGACACACCGCACCATATATCCATAAGAAGTGGTAATTAGTTAATCGACAAAAGGATGCATTCAGATTTTTTTTAGCACTTAAAAGATAAAAGCCAGGTTTCTAGAAATCTGTGTGTGCGCGTGTGTCTGTGTGCTTGTTTCAGGTAAACCCTTTTTTAAAAAAAAAAAAAATAGGAGAAACAAAAACAAGCAAACAGCTTGAGAGTAAAGTCTAATCAAAATAATCAGTGTAATTGAGCACTGAGGATTGAGGAGGGTGAGGTGGGTCCCCCTGTCGTGAATGTAATTACAAAAGATGGGTTGCTCGAATAATAATAAATATTCATTGGAGATTTATAGCCATATCAAATTGACCACTCTCTTTTCGTCACATCATGCGAGTTAGGTAGGCAATTTAATCATGCCTGTTCTTGCTTTCCGGTGCTCATGCTGCCCCGTTGTATACAGAATATCTTTCACAAGATCCTCCTTGCATTGATTTTGTCCCTTGATAGTGTTTCTTCTCACTGCACAGAAATGATAAAGATGTGATGAATCTGGATTTGTATATATCTTGATTTCTTATTTATATGAGACGTGTGACTTTAGCGGGTTGGCTTCTTATGAGATGCGAACGGAAGTTGGAAAATGCTCTTCATAACTCATTGCTTTCAGGTTTCGTATTGTGGGTTTATATCACAGTCCACTACCTCCAGTGATTGATGCTGACTCATGCTGCTTGTAATTATTATCATCATCTTCGTCCAATTAGCTCTCTCAATTTCCTTTCACGTCCATTTCATGGTTTTCTGCCCGGCACCTTCCTCTCCCATTTCAACCTTTTTTCACCGCACAACAAGCGAATTCCACTTTTCACTCAAACCGTTTACAATTTTGCATCTTTCTTTCTTTTCTTGGCACTAGCTCTTCTTTTTAATCCACGGCCTCAAAGTATCGCCTGTTAGCCTGTTAGCCTGTTAGATATATAGCAAACACTAATATCTTTTAAGTTAAGTTTGTTCCATATATAGACAATCTGATTCCTATCACTCATGTCAAAGTATTTCTCTCTGTTTTTTTTTAAAGAATATTCATGGTTCAAAACAAGGAGGGACTTGTGATGAAAAAAAAACAAGCAGGTATTAGTGCTAATGTGAAAAAAGAAAGAAAAAGGCATACTCCCTCCATTTCTACATATAAAATAAAAAAATTTGTATCACACAATTTAAAAAAATTAGTTAATCATATAGTTATGTTTAAAGATAAAAAAATTAAACTAAAATATTTTATATTAATTAATATAAATATATATTAATTATTTTTTATTAATGTAGATGAGGAATGATTTAAAAAATGTATAATAAATATTTATTAAAGTATGTGATTTTTTTTGTGTAGAGAAAGTAAAAAAAAAAATGATAATTTTTCTTACAGCGGAAGGGACTGCATGGACGGAGTATAATGTTTTAAAAATCAAAAGGGCCTGCAAAGCGGAAGGGCCAGCGATTCATGATTATCGTGGTCTACTCAATTAATGAACTGACAGTCAAACCAGTAAACAATAATTAAATAAAAATAATGGCACATGTACGCACAGCAATATAAATATGAAAAATAAATGAGATTGTTAAAAAATGTGCAGAGAAAAATTGCTATGTGAATTATTAAAAAAAAATACTAATTGAGAATCAACATTTCATCTTTTGGTTCAAGTCTAGCCTACACAACGCTATCATTTAATTATGGAATGTGGAACCATTGCTTTATATATATATATATATATGTATATATATAAACATCAGACCAGTCCGGTCTAGCGACGATTCCTGGTTGTTTACTGGGTCAGGTTTTTTAAAAACACTGCACAGGTGTCATTATCGCATACGCATGTTTTGGATACGAACTATGAAGGTTGAGTTCCCAATACGACCTTAAACGCAATACGTATAAACACAAGGCGCACACATGCCTGATCGGGGGACAAGGATATTATTTGGTGTGGAGTGGTGCTGTCCCCATCATATGTTGGCTTGTTTTTGTTTGCACAAGTGGGTCTCCTCTTCCTCAGCTCCAGCCTCTCTTTCTTCTATCCTCATGTTTCCAATATCATCTCCCTTTTCATCTCCCCGGGTCCAATCATGCGCAAAAATCTATACCTTCATACTCGTCCTTTTTTGTTTTTTAAATCCTCTTTTTAGTTACGTCAAAGGGATTTAAATTCTAGACCTTGCCAACATGGGTATTGATATCTATTTGCCATGGGCCTAGGCCCATTCGTTATAATAAGTTAATAACGCCTCACTTCTCAACGATCCGAGCTTCAATGTAGTGTTTGAAATGTGCCCTACACGAAACTTAAGACTGATACCCAATTTTTCATTTTGGCCCGTTAAAAGGAATATCAACTTTTTTTGATATTAAAGTATACTTCGCATTGCCAAGTTTTGAGGTGAATTTTGATTTCGTTTTACGTCATTTTAAAAAAATACTTTGAATTTATTTTACTACTTAAATAATTACACTTTTTCTATTAACTTGTGTGGTTATCAATCTATCATCAATATCTTTATTTACATCAGCAAATTTTAACAACATCACATCCTCTTTAAATAATAATATTCAAATTGATAGTTCAAACACATTTAAAGAACCAAATTAATAAAAAATTGTTAAATTTAAGAGTAATTGATAACACAAAATTCAGTGATTAAAAGTTTAATCGTCTTCAAATAAATGTTATTCATTTAATTAATCCTTAAAATTTCAAAAGAGTTCAGTCTAAAATAAATGATTATTTTTTATATATTTAAATTATTCAACCAAACATCAAATTCAATTCATAACAAACACCCATTTTTTATATAAATTTTAAAAATTAGACAAAAAATTTTACAGTTCAATAAATAGATTGATAGACAGCACTGAAATAAGTCGAAAATAAGCTTGTACTTGTATCGGGTAGATAGTTTACTCAATATTTTATTAAAAAAAATAATGTCCAAAATTCAAATTTTGGAGGTTGAATAAAAAAGAAAAAGAAAAGCATAAATAGGTCCTCATGGTTATCGTCATCGTTGAATTTGCATAAAACTTTCTAGAATCAGCGGGTTGATGCGGGCACGAAACTGAGTTTTTCCCGGGCCCTACTAGGTTAACGTCTTGATCGAGCAAAACTATTGTAGCCCTAGCTCCTCCTCCTGAGGCGCCGAGATCTGGCCTAAACCCTATTCATCAGCGAAGAAGATTCAGACCAAGGGGAGTGTCAAGGAGGTTAGGGCTTGAACCGAAGAAACGGGAGTAAAGCTGTTGGGCTGAATGGGGAAGAAGAAGAAGAGGGTTTCTTCAAAGGTGTGGTGTTACTATTGTGATCGGGAGTTCGATGACGAAAAGATTTTGGTTCAGCATCAGAAGGCTAAGCACTTCAAATGCCATGTCTGCCACAAGAAACTCTCCACTGCCGGCGGCATGGCCATTCACGTGCTTCAGGTTCACAAAGAAAGCGTCACCAAGTAAGCTCTAATGTCTTGCTCACCCTTTATTCGTCGTCCCCTTCTGTCTGATTTGGCTCCTCGATTAGCAGTTTTCCTATCTGATCAATCAAGTGTAATGTTTTGGATCTACCAAGTTAATGAATTTTCACTCAGCTGCTTGACAAATAGTAAAATATCCTTAGGATCTAATAATTTGATGCGAGGACTGAGTAAACAGGTATCTTGTCTTGGTGAAGTTACAAGGGAGGAGAATGTTTGGCAATAATGGAAAATATTGAAATCCGTGTGGGGGCTAGAGAACTATGCACTATGAATGTTAACTCCTGCTTAAACAAATAAAATGCACAGTTTGGGTTTCATGCCCCGTTGGCAGAGAATGATTATCTTTTAATTCAACTAACAATTCTATGCATCTTCCTTCTCTGATCTTTCCTTGTGAAAGGGATTTAAACCAAAAAAAAAAAATCTGTATGAGTTATATTTACTGTATGTTTTATGGTATTGCCAAATGCCGAGAACTTTATCCTGCTCCTGCATTTGTGATGTTTCCAAGAGATGCTTCGGTTCTGCCACTTGATGTTGTGCTTTCCCGTTCATTTACTTTTCAGGGTGCCCAATGCAAAACCTGGTAGAGAGTCTACAGATATTGAAATATATGGGATGCAAGGGATTCCGCCAGATATCTTGGCCGCCCACTACGGAGATGATGGTAATCATTCATCTTTCACTCTTTCTCAAATTCTGAGTCGCTGAAGTTTAATCTCCTGTTAGTGGGAAAATAACCCTGCTACTTGACAGATGGATTTAGCAAAAAATTAGTTGATATTGTTGTTTCATATAGTTTGTGTTTGATTGAGTGTTGTTTTTTTATTGGGGAAGATGCAACGGAGTGATGAAGAGATAATAATTTTGTTCCCAAAGAAAAAAGAGATAATAATTCATGACTTAGAAGATCAGAGTGGATGCAGATGACATGGAACAGTGGAAATCAGTTAATGAACTGCTTTGTATGGGTTTAATTTTGTCTTGCTCACCCTTTATCCGTCATAAAGATTGTCTTAAGGTTTTCCAAAGCGTGGTTATTTGTTATCTTGGGCTTTGCATTTGTGCATTTTTTTTGGGGGAGAAACTGAGAAAGCCAATTAGCAGAGTGAGAATGTCAATAAGAAAATAGATGGTGTATACTGCAATGAAGATTGGCAAGAACATACATGGCAATTCTCCGTGCCTGTCAAATTGATTTTAGTTTGTTTTAATATGGCCTCAAACAAGTTGCTACATCTTATGGCATGTGTTTTGGTTGTTATTTTATTTTGTGTGAAAGCCAATTAGCAGAGAAAAAGCATCAGTGAAAAAGTATGGCGTATTTTGCATTGAAGGTTGGTGAAAACAATGTATGGAGACTAGGGTTAATTTCTGTTGAATTTTCTCCCTTTTGCTGTCAAATTGATTGTGTTGTTTTGATTGTGGCCTCGAACAAGTCTCTGCATGTAATTGATGAGTTTAACAATGTTCTCTCAAAACAAATTTGGAACCTTGTTTTTCAAATACATGATTTAGAATGTTATATTAGGGTTGATTGAATAATAGATTTGTCCCTTTTTTGTGTTATTTTGGGTGAAAGCCTATTAGTAGAGGCAGGGCGTCAGTGAAAAGATGTGGTGTATTTTGCATTGAACGTTTGCAAAAACAAAAAAAGTGGAGATTTCCCTGTCCTGTCAAATTGATTTTATGGTCTTTTGATTATGGTGTTAGACAAGTCTCTGCGTCTAATTGTTTGGTTTAAAACTGTTTTCACAAAAAAGTCTGTAACCTTGTGTTTCAGATACCTGATTGTTGATGTTGACCTGGGGTTTAAATCATAAACTTGTCCTCTTTGCTGTGTTTCTTATTTTTGTTGATAGCCACTTATCAAAGCAACAGATTCGATATTAAAAATGGTGGTATATATTTGAAGTCTGGCAGGAAAAATAAATAGGCGGTTCTTTTTGCCTTTCAGATTTATTTTATGTTGTTTGGATTATGGCCTCAAACAAGTCACTTTATCTAATTGTCTCATTCAAAACTGTTCATGTACATAAAAGAAGTTAGAATGTTTGTATTTGCTGGTCTATAGTTAATGCTCCTTTGGTATTTGTTGGCCTATAGGTAAAACATTAATTAATTACAACAAACGTCAATTATTTTACATTCTTGGGTTAAGGTGCATTTTCCCCCCTAAACTATTCTCCGAGAAGTACTCAATGTCGTAAATTATTTGTTGTAGCTTTCACCTCTAAAGTAATTAAAACACAGCATGTTTGCCCCTGACATTAAATATGCCCACGTTAATTGTTAAAAATGCTAATTGGGATTTAAGTTTGACCGCACATGCCACCTATGTGCCTGGTAGGTTTGAGTTAAGGTACATTTTTGTTCCTAAACTATCTTTCAAGGAGTATTTAATGTCCTAAATTATTTGTGTCATAGCATTTTGTCTGCTAAATTAATTATAGCATAGCATATTTCCAAACATCTATAAATAACTCAAGCAAATTCCTTTTCTTTCCCTCTTCTTTAAGTTTAATTAAAATAAAAATAAGTTTGACCTGTTCAAACTACTGGCTTTAAATTGGGAGGGGCATAACATTTTTAATTGTAAGAAAAAATTGTAAGCTAACAGTGGGGGAATGGGTGAGCAGGGCTAATTAACAGTAGAATGCATAAGTAGGCAATAATTAAAGACAATGGGAATGGCTAGTTAAGAGAAAGAGGTCCTGCCCAATAATGCACTATCGCATCATTTCTCTCTATCTCTTTGCAGTTTATCATTAAAGCATGCATGGCTTCTTTTGCTTTCTAAACATTTGTAATTAAACATAGTATTTTAATAAAAATAAAGAAGGCCAGAAGAGGAATTTGTTTGACTTATTTAAGGATGTTCAAAAATATGCTACATTTTAATTACTTTAGGGATGAAATTACTGCTATACAAATAGTTTAGGACACTGGGTGCTCCTCAGATGATATTTTAGAAGCAAAAATGTACCTTAACTTGAATCCATCTGGCATGATAGGTGGCAATTTTTGTCAAAATTAAGTCCTAGTCGGCATTTTAATGGTCATGTTGGGATATTTAACGTCAGGGAAAAATATGCTATGTTTTAATTATTTTAGAGGGAAAATTACTATGACAAATAGTTTAAGATACTAAGTGCTCCTCGAAAATAGTTTAAGAGCAAAAATGCACCTTAACCTTGCATTCTTTTATATGATTTTCACATCCAAAATTCCTTATGCCTATTTTACTACCTTTGTTGGATTTGGTTTTATCTGATGGCTAATTTGCTTTAGAAGCATTTATGAATGATATATGCGACATTTGTAGCAAGGTTGAAATTCTTGCATGAGGCAAAACATTTAAATTTCTTTTTCTGACAAATTTCTATTGAACGCAGAGGATGAAGCTCCATCAAAAGCAGCCAAAGTGGATATCCCATCAACTCAGCTTGTAGGTGGTGTTGTCCCAGCACCATTAGGCATGGGATATCCTCAGTCAACCTTGGGTACTATGCCACCTATGTATGTTTCCTTAAATTATTGCTTTTCTTACTTCCCCTGGTTTCATTAATGTTGTATTGGCATGTGATGAAAGTGATAGTCTATTCATTTATCTTCAAGTGGCATGAATTTCGTTAACCTGCTGTTTTGTCTCCTCTTGGTAATCAGTTATAATCCAGCGGTACCTGTGCCTCCTGCCACTTGGTCAGTTCCACCTCGACCTCAGCCTTGGTATCCGCAACCTCCATCTGTTTCCATTCCTCCTCCTGCCCCATATGTACAGCAGCCATTATTTCCTGTCCAGAATGTGAGGCCACCTCTACCATCAACTGCTTCTCCTGCCCTTCCAACTTCTCAAGTTGCTCCTCCTGGATTGCCTCCAACATCTGCTCCAGTTTCACAACCATTGTTTCCTGTTGTTGGAAATAACCATACGATGGCCCAAAGTTCAACATTTTCTGCACCATCACTTTCTACCACTGTTCCATCTTCATTGCCTTCAAGTACCTCTGCTGATGCTTATTCCAGTGCTAACACAACTTCGACAAATAATTATCAAACACTAGGGGTTCCAGGTACTCTTATGTTCATGTTTTTTTTTATTACTTAAACCATTCATAAACATTTTATGTTTTCAGGTTGCATGCCATCACCTTTTTTTCTTTTTTTAAAGAAAATAGTTTTCTAGTGTCAATATTCTAAACTTCCATTTTCCTCACTTAATGAAATAAGGCTTGTTGTTATTGTATTCCAAATTTTCATTTACAATTACATGCTCCCTTATCAGTGGGTCATAATCCTAGGACCAGATGTGATATTTTGTTATTGTATTCCAAATTTTCATTTACAATTACATTCTCCCATATCAGTGGGTAATAATCCTAGGACCAGATGCGATATTTTATTTTCTATGCTGACGCTTATCACACTAACAGTTAGTTGGTCTTTTCATTGAGTTTCAATTGCCTTATATTTTCTATGCAATTTAAGTGGAAAGTAATTGCTTGTACTGTATTTTGATAGGCTTGCACTGCAAGTGTGGTATGTATCTCTCGTTCTCTGATGCCTGGGCTGAATTAGCTTCTCTTGCTTATGATTTTTGTTGGTTATAACTTGTGAATGATGAGACACGCAAGGCATCTAAATTTGCTCACAAGTGACCACTTGTTTCTTCCTATGACACAATAAATACTGCTAATAGCTAGTTGTGTGTAGTGTTACTCCTTTTACTGGTTTGAATTTAATTCTGTCTGGTTCTATAACATAGTAGGAATTTCACGTCCATTGTGAAATGTTAGGTGCTAAAAGTTTGCCTCAAAATGTCACTATTGTTTTTGTCATTGAGCTGATCTTATATGCTTTATTCATTTTCCTCACTTTGTTTACTGGAAGAAGAACATTATAATATTGTAGGGCTGGTTTTATACATTTTAGTGATTTTAATTTGACTTGTTTTGATTACTATAGGAGGGACATCAAGCAACTCGCATTCTTATGCTTCTGGTCCAAATACTGGTGGACCTTCAATTGGACCACCCCCAGTAATTGCAAACAAAGCTCCTGCGACTCAACCAGCCACTAATGAGGTCTACTTAGTTTGGGATGATGAGGCAATGTCCATGGTGCGTTATCTGCTAGTGGAATGTATTTATTTAGTGTTAGAATACTGTTAAATTTGTTATCAAGTGATGTTATGTTACTTTGGTACCTGCAGGAGGAAAGAAGAATGTCCTTGCTAAAATACCAGGTGCATGATGAAACTAGCCAGGTAAGTCATACTACCTCTGTAATAGAAGGAGTTGCTTTCACATCTAACCAGATGGGTAGGCTTTATGCTTCTTGCTTTCAGATTCAGTTGTTTACGCATTGTTTGCTATTGATAGAGGTACATTCTGTATAATATTTAATCCTCTTTCTAAAAAGGAAGTTGAGTGGCATTCTAATTTTTCCCCTTCTTTTGTCTTACTCAATAAGAATGAGTAGTGCATTCTGCTTTATTTTAAACTGCCACTTTGGCCGCAAGCTATGCCTCCCAAATTTGTGAGCATCAAAAGATTCAAGTATGTACTTGTTGCTAATTTCTCTTTGGTAGTTAATTACTGCGGTGTAATATGTGAAGTATGCTGTAGACAACCAACTACATCGCCCTGCTTTTGTAGTAGAAGTGTACGTATATATGAATTTTTAGGCTTGGTTTTGATACTGTTATTCCTTCTCCCCCTGCTTGATTTCCAAGAATTGGGTTTTGGGATGAATAAGATCTTACACACCTGATTTTTCCTCATCCGTAGCATCATTACAATTTATTTTATGGAACAAGTGAATTCAGACTTGGCCAGGTCAGCTTCTTTCGCAGAGTTTGGAATCTCTTGCATAGGCCCAGGCTGTTAAATATTTGGTTTTTGTTGTATTGAGTAGCAGTCTCTGTGCAACGTGCTGATCATTCCTGGTTATTTTTCAGATGAGCTCCATTGATGCAGCTATAGACAAGAGGATACTTGAAAGCAGGCTAGCTGGTCGAATGGCTTTTTAGAACAATCTGAGCCATGTGTTGTCAAATTTGTTCACTGCTGATGGTGTTAGAACATTAGAGTTTATTTTCCGAGATTCTGGTGCAGTTTCATCATTCTTTGCTTGGAGTTTTCCATTTACCAACCTAGCGGTGCTATTCTTGGCAAAAAAAAAAGAAAAAGAAAAAAAGAATTTGGAGACTCTTTTGTACCTGGTGGGGCGGGGTTAGTTAAGGTAAAATGGTATCTCATAGAAAGTTGCAGGACGCCGGTGGTCTTCTAATATCCTTTTTCTCTCTTTTTTAGGCATAGGGAAATGATACCTTGTAGAACAGATGGCTCCAAATCGAGTTTGGAAATATCATTTCTATGTCCTTTTATATGTTTCATTTGTTTGTTTATGTGGTTTCGGTATGTTATGGGGATAGCATTAATATGCATATCTACTTTGTGATTTCAATATTCGCTTACCTTATTTCTCATTCTCAGCTATGTCTCCTCTGAGAGACTGAGCGAAGAACGATGAACAAATGCAAAATATTGCTGAACCCTGTTAGTTCCTCACATAGGAGCCATCCTTGCTGTTAAATTATGGGAGGAGGTGGGTGTGTACAAGGCGCAAGACATCCTCATTAGAAAACAGGATGGCCAAAATATAAGCAGCATTGCGTAGGTTTTTTATTTTCCTTTTCCGGGTTTTGAATTTCTCCTTCCAAATTAAAACAAGTGACGGGGAAACTGCTATCACAGAATCAAGATCCGTTTTTCCTTTTTAGCAGTATTGAAAATTGATTGGTTCAGTTAACTAGGACTCAATCTTTATTGCTTGATGAACATTTTTTTTTCATATTATTTTTGGTTGCGTGCGAGAATCTCTCTTTAAAATAATCTTATTATAATCAGATATGGAATGGTTAAAATGTAAATCTATCTGTAAACTGTTTTGTGAGATGCAATTGGAAGCTTCAAATGTAAAAAAATGCAACTGAAACCCCCTTGCCTTTTGGAGGAGGGTTAATTTTTTTTGGCTTTATTTCCCTCTACTTTTTAAATTTCATCATTCAAATTATTTTATTAAATGATTTTTTTTAATGGTGAAATTAATGAATGGTGGGGATTGAGAAATGGAGGAGAAAAAAATGGTAAGATTCCCTACCCCTACCTTCAAATGCATTTTTTTACTGTTACTGTGCTTTGTTGGCATGCATTCTAGGACTAAATGATGCTGGTTGTCATCCATGTGGCATTCTCTTCTTTTATTAAAACACATTCATAGCAAAATAAATAAGTTTTCTGCAAAGGTGAAAAGATGAAGGATGCTCAACCTTGTCCGGCAGATCTGGAATGAAAATGGAGGGAGAGGTGGGACGAACGCGATGCCAAATTTGAGATGAGAGTTTGAGGCGAAGTTTGTTTGGGGTTTGAGATTCGAAATTTGAACACGAAGAGAGAAGCTGTGGTGCTTGCGGAGGCTTCGATGGTTGCTGGAAATTTGCAGATCTTGAGGATGAAGAGAATGCTGCCGCTTCCAGATTCAGGGGTCATCGAGCTTTCAGATTCAAGGGTAATCAGCTCTTGAAGGAGATCAAAGCTCTGGATGATGGCTTTGGGATCATCGAACCTTCTTCTCCGCCTCGCTACCCATGGCCTTCTCTGTGTGTGTGCGCGCGCGCGCGCACCTCATGGCTCTCTGCTTCTGCAATCCCACTTTTGTTGAATATGTCGGAAACAGTATCGTTTGATTCATTTGGTTGGGTCAGTTCTATACATGAGTGCTTGAGTATTTCACTCTCAATGTGACTCCGGGTCTAAAATTCATCCGCCTTCACTTCCACCTATCTTATTTGAGTCTTGATGTCTCCAAAGCTTTTGTATTAGTCACTGCTGGTAATTTCACTCTTTTGTATAACTCAAGTGTTTCACTCACTACTAATTACATCAACAAAGCATATCTGGATGAAAGAATTTATCATCCATTTGAGTGGAAGAACCGTAGAGCTGACTTTTACTCCCTTATCCAATGCTTCTAATGTCTATGTATTCGTGAACTTGAATTGAAGTTGTTTCCATGCCTTCTACCAATCTCTATATTCAGAATTGAGAGAGAGAGAGAGAGAGAGAGAGACGAGGAAGAGAAGTTGACTGGATACGTTTCTCCTCCTCCTCCTCCTCTTTGATTTTTAATGATTAAAACATGGCATTTGACTTGCCAAATTGAGGCGGATGACACGTAGAAATATAATCTAGGCTCAGTGTAGTCAACAAACAACTAAACGTTTGATTTTGTTAAAATTTTGGAACATTGCAATCCTTTCAAAAGTATAGAGGGACAATATATGTTTTTAAAATTTTAGTATACTAATTGGATCTTGTGAAAAAGTTTAAAGATGAATTTGCATTAATTTAATGTCAAATGAAAACAATTTTTCTAGCGGCGATTCTAACCCCTTCCTCTTCTTTTATTATTCGAATTCATATGTACATTTTAATACATCCTAAATGCCAAACTAGGTTCATCATACATTTATACTAATGAAATAATTGGTTAAAAAATCCATAAATTAAATGTACGGACAGGAATTTTAAAACAAAAAAGAGTAGTCAACAAACAATCAAATGTTTGATTTTGTTAAAATTAGGGAACATTGCAGTCCTTTTAAAAGTATAGAGGGACAATGTAGGTTTTTAAAATTTTAATATACTAATTGTATATTGCGAAAAAGTTTAGAGATGAATTTGCATTAACCTAATATTAAATGAAAACAATTATTCTAGTGGAGATTCTAATCCCTTCCTCTTCTTTTATTATTCGAAGTCATATGTATATTTTAATACATCCTAAATGCCAAACTAGGTTCATCATACATTCATACTAATGAAATAATTGGTTAAAAATCCATAAATTAAATGTACGGACAGAATTTTAAAACAAAAAAGAGTAATGGTTTGGCTACAATAATTATGATGTTTATATGTATTAACGTTAATATCAGCATAATATTTTAAAAATATGAGATATTTGAGAGTAAGATAAGATTAAGATGATGTTATCTATGGCTTTTGTCATTAGATCCATCGAGTAAAATGAAATAAATATTTAATCTTCTTGATTGAAACCGCAATACGCATAATGTTATTAATAAAGATACTATTGCTTGTATAAATTTTTTGTTTAATATATTAACATCAATATGAAAAAATAAAATTTTTGGAAACATTGCATTACATTACACTATTATGTGTTTTTCAATTATACCATTCTTTCAAAATGGAGTTGTTAGATCTTGGAGTAGTGTTTCACCTGTTTAATTATCCGTCTAGTTTATAAGCATACGCTTTTTTTTTTTTTTAAATAACCTTTATAAACATCTATCGACGTGTAAACCGTATCGAGTTCTTCGTTTTGTTATTTATTTTGAAGGGGGGTTCCAAACTTGCGCGATTCAGTATTAGCCGGCAATGTCTAGTCTTGTGGCCAACTTTGGGAGAAGAACAAGTTAATGCGAATTGAAAGCCCACTGGCACTGTAATAATAAAAGAAAATCGAGAGGGAAGTGCGCTGCGAGCCGGCAACCCTTAACCCCTAAAACCCAAAGCTTTGTTCAGCGGCGATGACTCCCAAAAACAGCGCATAGACTCCGACGCTTCTTCCTTCATCACTCCATGTTTCCTCTTTAGGGGCCACAATGAAAGCCTTAAGATCACTGAGAATACTCAGGACTCTCTCTTCCACCCCGCACAACAATCTCTGTCCCCTTGAGCGTTCCTTTCTGCGCAGGTTTTACTCTGCTGAACCAGAGCAAGAGGAAGTGACGCAGCCGACAACCTACCAGGGGTCGGAAAATGATTCAGATTCAATTTTTGATAGTTCTCATTACGAGGTTCCTAATATTTCAGACACCAGTGCTCACGCCCATCGGCAACAACAACCCATCTGGGACCGAAAGTACAGGGCCAGAGCTGATGAAATGCTCTTTGGAAAGGAAATCCCTCAAGGCAATTTGAGATTCAGAGAAGAGGAGGAGGAGAACAGGCGGAGAGTGTTGGCCAAGGCTTTGCTTGAGGCGTCACTGGAGAAAGGGGATAGCGAGGATGAGGATGAACATGTGGCGAAGGAGGAGGACCAGAAATCACTGGCCGTTGGAATAATCGGTGCTCCCAATGCTGGGAAGTCTGCACTGACTAATTATATGGTTGGTTCTCTTTGCTTCTTTGTCCCGACGTGACAAAGTCCTTTTCTTGAGGTGTCTGACTGACAATGGTTCCATTTTCTTCCTTTGTATCTTCAATCCTATTTTAGTTTCAATGCCTTTGCTTCTGTAAAATTTCACTGCTGAAGATTGATTTGTGTTAATTTGGGGAAAAAATCCTGGACTCTGGAACAGTTAATTGATGATTACTAGTGTCATTTTTTCCACGATAATGTTCCTCCTTGCCGTCTTAATTTATATGAAAAACTTCTGCTTTTAATGTCTTGATACATTTATTGGAGATGGTTTTCCGTATCCGATTATTGTTATAGTATGTCTTCTCTTAGAAGTTCGTCTTAACTGGTATGGAGGAGGTGAAACGTGGAACGAGCCTTCTTGTTCAATGTCAATCAATTAATTAATTCTATATATTTTCAGCCAGCTGTTTTGTACTGTCAAAACGCTTAGATATCTCTATCCGTGGTTTAAACTTTGCTTCCTCTTGCCATTGTGCAATGCTTGAATTATTTAATAAGATTGAAGGCATGAGTAAGTATTCCTTTGCAGTTTTGGTGATATGATTTTAATTTAATCATGCTCCGTCTAACTCCTATTTGGAAATATGTTACATAACTAAGTTTGTTAAAAAGCTGCTGTTTTTTGTTTTTCTTCCGGACAAGTTAGCCTTTACAGTTGATTGCGGTGTATGATTCATTTGCTGACTTCAAAGTATTATATTACATTGAAGTAATTGATATATGGCAGGGTGCATTCAGAATAGCCTTTAGCATCTTTTGTTGTTATCAACATCAAATGACTTTTTTCATAGTTATATCCTCACTCTTTTGCTATAGGCTGGTACAAAGGTAGCAGCTGTTTCACGGAAGACAAACACCACAACTCATGAAGTGGTAGGAGTGATGACGAAAGGAGACACACAAATTGTGAGTCACTTTGTCATTACTTTTCTTCTATCGTAGAAAAGCAGAACGACTGTTGAAGTTTCAATTAGGCTGTATTGCATTGGTAGCATCGACTTCTTGAAAAAAATTAATTTATGCTATAATTCTGATGATGAGTAATACCTAAATGCTTCATGAAATTGGGATATTATTCTCTGGATGATATAATTCTTAATGCTTCAGGATGTTGAAATCAATCCAATATTTGCTGGATGCTAGTAAATCAATCAATCAGAAAATGCCTCCCCCCAATTATAATAAACTAGCTTGGGAACCTTCGACATGTTCTTTCAAATGCAAGCTCAGTACATGAGCTTATAATTCAATGTTGGGTTCTGTGATGAGTTAATGAGTGGAAGAGGCGGTCTAGAGGTTATATATTATAGATGAACCTTTTGCGGCAAGTGTGTCAAATTATATACATATCAATTAAAAAAGAAAGTAAAACTTGAACTCCAGCTATTGCTTTCCCACCTTAACTTTCCCATTCTTCAAGTTGTGTTCAACATGCTACTTGTACGGTTTGTGTTTTCTCACTTTTTGTGATGTCATCCAGCATGCAAGAGCTTGAAATTTTTATCCATGACTATGCTATTTTATTTTTCTGTTTTTAGGTTTTTTTTTTTGGCTCAGGTAAAGTTTATATCTGGTATGTATTTAATTATTTTTTAAATTGAAATTGTACTACCCATGCTTACAACCGTATAAAAATCTCTATGCAGTGTTTTTTTGACACACCAGGGCTTACGTTAACTTCCAAAGGATATCCTCATCACGATCTCAAGAGCCGTGTTGAAAGTGCTTGGAGTTCGGTCAATCTCTATGAAGTGCTTCTTGTTGTTTTCGATGTCCATAGACATCTTACCAGGTTAATATATTATTCTTTCTAAGTGGGCACTGTGGGAGTAATCTTACTCTTTAATTCAATGTTACTTATTTACTCTTTTCGTTCAAAAATTCAAAGCATTTTTTAAGGAGTTGAATGTTAAACAATGTAAGGCATTTTTAGTATTTTAATGTATAATCATTATGTTTTTTTTTTTCAAAAGCATCCCTAATAAATAAATCATTTTATATTTATTTTAAAGTGAAATACTCTATTAAATAAGGGTAAATATGGAAAGATAGTATTAGTTTAAAGACAATTAGTTATTTTATTAGGGGATGAGATTTGATTAAAAATACTTTACATTTTTTAACTGGGGGAGTATTATTCTATGTTAGAATTTGAAAACCTATTCTTTTGTTTACCTGATCAAATATGACTGGCTAGAGATGAAGATTAAACTGGGAGGTTTAATGTTGATGACTTTGTGTGTCAAGGAAGTCTCGTGGATTTATAATTTCTAAATATAGCCAGTACTATGACATGTTGGCATGCTAATAGACCATATTTTACTTCTTGCGTGGATAATTTGCTTATGTATCTTCTGGACCCTGGAAAACTTATGAAGATAGTTACTTTGGTAAATTAAATATGATGTAAAGACAATCTTATATATTATAATCATGTTGCACTGCTCATATCTTAACCAGGTGATAAATCATTGTAACTTGCATTTTTTTTTAATCATTTTCCTCTCAGTCACTTATGTCTTCTTAACATTCAATCAATATAGACCTGATGCAAGAGTCATACAATTAATTAAGCGTATGGGAGCTCGAGTCCATCCCAATCAGAAGCGAGTTTTATGTATGAACAAGATTGATTTAGTAAAGAAAAAGAAAGACTTGATGAAGGTTTCAGAAGAATTCAAACATCTCCCTGGATATGAAAGGTATGGTTTCCTTCTAAAGAGACTGGACAAAGTGCCAATTTGCTGTATAAATTTTAACCTTTCCGTGGATCAAATATAGGGCCTAAACCTGATGATCTCCTGTTATTATTATGCAGGTTTTTCATGATATCAGGACTGAAGGGGTATGGGCTAAAAGATCTGTCACAGTACTTGATGGAGCAGGCATGTATATTTTCTAGTTATGCTCTCTGTATCCATCCTATCCAAATGATCTTCTTGTTCCTCTGACCTGGAATGTGTTATTGGGTTCCTTAAAACATTGGTCCTAAACAACAATGTGCTTTTTAAACAAATATTGTTTTTGTCAAGTTTAAGAGTTTGAGCCACTTTTGCGTTCATTGAGTAACAAAACAGTCTATAATATATGGTGTGTGCCTATTTGTACTTGGTGCAGAAACAGAATGAGTGTCATCGCTCTTGCTCATTGCTGCACTTTGATAATGCATGAACGTAGATAAGATTGCTTCTCTATTGCTTATATTATGAATTTGGTATTTGAAGCTGATTACTATGAATAAGAACTTGAATGAGGCATTGTATGTCATCTGACACAAATTTCACACCCAACAAAATATTTTGTGTACAATTGTATATATGAATTAGCACGTCTACCAGGACTAGAAACATGTTGTGTCTATTTTTGGGGTGATAGAAACATCTTATCAAATAGCAGAGGGAACCAAGATATCAATAGTTCTTATGTTGGCATATCAGTGTGCTTTGGAGTTGGTTTGGCAGCTACTTTTTGGATAAGGAAAAATGAGATTTTCCTGGCAATCTAGTAGCTCGAGGCCTTGCCTCCGGGCACAAAATGAGAGTAATTGGTGGAGAATTTGTTTTTCCTTTAAAAAAATAAGATAGAAGGCTTTACTGATTAAACTGCATCCTCTTAAAACTAGTAAACTAGATATATTTCTAATATTTCTTCAGAACTCTCATGTTAGACATTTCAAGACCTAAGTCTGGATTTTGAATTACTTCTAATGCTTAGGCAGTTCAACGACCATGGGAAGAAGATCCATTTATGATGAGTGAAGAAGTTATGAAGATGATAGCCATGGAAGTTGTGCGTGAAAGGTTGTTGGACCATGTACATCAGGTAGCAGTTAAAGTCAATCTCCAATTTATAGATAGAATCTGACAGAAATGTATGGTAGGATCAGATGATTAATTTATGATTCTGACGATGGATTACAACTTTCTCAATTCAGGAAATTCCGTATGAAATTGAACATCGGTTGATTGAGTGGAAGGAATTACGAGATGGTTCTCTTAGAGTTGAGCAACATTTCATCACAAGCAAATTAAGCCAACGCAAGATACTTGTGGGAAAGAATGGTTCCAAAATTGGGTATCTCCTTCTATTTTAAGTCTTTAGTTTTATATATGTAACTCATTGCTTTTTAAATTAGGTCCTCTGCTGTAGTGCTGTGTGTGAGAGAGAATGATACATACTCATACACGTGGGAGTGTACGGGCCATTTCATCTAATTTACACATTCTAATCTCTCTCTCTCTCTCTGGAAGTATGGCATATAATAAATTATTTTACAGCAGATGATCCGGATTGGTTTGTTTTTGTTCAAAGATACAATTTTTTAAACAATTTTTTAGTTGTTAAAAGAAGATGAAATATCATGTTGTCATAACCAAATTAGATTGCTGTCGTATCAGTTTGGGAGTGTTATTCAGGGTTCAAATATTTGAATTCTTGTTATCTCAATGAGTGTATGAACTTGTGTGCAACCGTAAATATGTGTGTGTGGCGTGTTGATTGATCAAACAAGTTCTCCTCTTCATTTAATCCTTTACGGTATCAGAGCAGAACATTCCAATGAGTTTATGATTTGCGATGGTCAATTCTTGTTTATAGATACCTCAACCATTACATCCAATCACAGATACCGTTGAAACATTTGAACCTAGGCTGAGCTGAAACTATAACAGGCCCAGACTGAAACCATAACCGTCAGAGTTGGTTATGATAAGTTGGATCTACTCCCAACACGCTTTCATGTAAACTTGGTCCCTAGCACTTTGTAAATTGAATTTACCCATGAATTCCTCTTCGTAGCTTCCGGAATACTAGCCGTTATTTCTGCATCCTTGATGTTAAAATGCAAACTTAGTTGATTGTTTGGGTTGGTTTGATGCAGGAGAATAGGAATGGAAGCTAATGAAGAGCTAAGGTCCATTTTCAAAAAGCAGGTGCATCTAATTCTGCAGGTTAGGCTTAAACAATGACAAAATGACAGAGTGGATTTGATTTTTAGAGTGCAGCTTCCCCGCCACGCCATGAAGTATACAAAAGTGCCAACGTGGGTCCGAATCAGCCCTAACGCCCATGCTTGATACAAGCGATCATAGAGAACATCACCATGGTAAGATATGGGCACCGCAAATGGTGATCATGCGGCCAAAACTTCCTACTTGTAGTAAGATTCATTTGGTTATAATTGGTAAGCGCGTATGAATGTTACAAATAGACGACCATAACTTGTTTTATCATTTTCGATTATAAATTTCACACATCTTATGTACAGCAATTTTGATGATGAATTCCATCTTCCTGTTTTCCATATGCTTTTCCCTTTGCCAGTCTAGTGGGAGCTTCAGGAGGTATTCCGCACGATACTGATATCCTTATTCGACTCTCCCTGCACAACGCAACGATTCTCTGGAAATATAACGATGAATCTCGATGTCCTAATCACCGGCCCAAGCTTATCCAAACTTTTCATTAAAAAAAAAAAATTCCAATCACCAAAGATCAAAGGCATGTTTGACAATTTATCTTAAAAATAATTTTCCATTCTTCAAAACAAAACAAAAAATTCAATTTGACAAGGTGTTCAGAAATTGTTTTAAGAAATAAGAAAAACTAAATATTATTTTAAAAATAGAAAAACGAAAATATCTTTCAAATCTTTGAAGGTATTGTCTTGAAAAATTAAAAAAATATGCAAAAGATATCGGTCATTATTATTTTTGGTTCTCAGTCAAAACAATTAAACAAATAGAGTTTCCTCAATCTCAACCCTGGTGATCAATACCAATGTCCTGGATAAATAGTTGATGGCTTCTAAAAAATCAGAAAACAGTTGAACTTCCCTAAAGTGGTGACCTCTACATACTGCCAGGCCTGTCTTAATCGCGAGAATCACAGCTGCAGTAGAAGGGAAGGATCCCAGGTTATTTCTGGAGGCCATGATCCGTTCGCCTCCGTCATTTCTGATGACAAAGTGCACACTTTTTAACAAGGCTGCAGCACTATGGCTCTTCCACCTCAGTCGAACACTCCATGGCCTTTTGACAGTGCGCGGGAGTGTTCATGTCGCAATCTATTGCCATTCCTTGTCAACAATTGGATAACAGCCTGAGCCTGATCGTCTACTTCCACTTGTATCTGTCTAAAACCTCCCCTTCAGCCTCAGGCATGTCCAACTCTATCATGGATACCAGCTTCATAGCCTCACAAGATTTCAGAGTAAACTAACACCAATAAATATCAAAGTCATCGAGCTTTCCTTTTGCCATTGGAACCCCACCAGGAAATGAAAAGGATCACATCTTGTGTTGGGTTCTCTTTGTTAAGTTTCTTTTTCACTCTTACCAAGTACCTTTCCGCATGGACGACTGACTTTAGTTGGGTTTAGAAGGCGGTGAAGGCAAAACGTCATAACACTTGCGCGCCAAATTGAGGCAATCCAGCCAATGAAAGATTTCTGCATTGGGGTCCCTCTCGATCACAACATCGGACACCGTAATCTGCAACGCGCCTCTGAAGCTGGTGATCTGGCCTCGCACTCTAGCTACCTTCCCCAGCTGGACGAGATCGGCGAAGGCAGCCGCGGCCGCAGCAATCAGGGCAGCATCGGAAGGAGAGGAGAAGTGGTTGAGCCAGAGGATGCAGTTGATGCAGCCGGTGCCGTCGTCGAGGGTGAACTTGAGAAATCTGTGGGGTTTGAGTTCACGGGAGGTGACGGTGCCAACGGCTTCGGTGCGAGAGAGGGGGATGCCTCTGCGAGAGAAAGAGAGAGAAGAGTTAGAAGAAGAAGGGGTTTGGGCGAGGGAAAGAAGATCGAAGGCGAGTAGCTTCACATGAGAGTTGAACAATGGACCATGCTGCTGCATTGCACCCTAAACCCTAATTCACAGATGCAGATAGATCGGATTCCTCCAACTCCAATCCACCGCAAGCAGCCCTCTTCGGACGCCCTTTCAGCGTAATTTTTTATCAAAAATATATAAAATATTTTAAATATTTTTTTAAAATTTTTAATTTTATTAATTTTTTTTAAGTGTTCTGAATGGTTTTATATTAAAAATAAATATAAAAAATAAGATTTATTTAAAAATAAATAATTAATTTATTGAGAAGTGAAATTTAATTAAATGTATTTTATATTTTTTAATGGAGGAAGCAATAATTATTTTTTTAATTTTTTACTTTTTAATTAATTTAAACATATTAAATATAATTATATTATTATCTAAATTGAGGATGAAAAATAAAAGTACGTAATTTTTTATAATATAAAATATAACTTTTTTAAAATTACATAAAATAATTAAAAATATTTTATAATAAAAATAAAAAAATATTCTAAATGTTTGTATTTTCCTTTCCATTTTCAATGAAAACTTATTTTTTTTATTAACAAAATAATTTAATAGCATTCCCCCATCAATTAAGTGATTGTTTTACTTTTCTTTAAACATATATTTTTTTATGAAAATTTTTTATAAATGATAATCCGTTCAATAATAAATAATTGTTGCAAGAATTTTTTAAATCAAATATTATTATGTAATTACTTAAAATTTTCATAAAATAAAATAATAAAAATACGGGGAGAGGTAAATAATGCTGTCTAAAAAACTGCTAGAAAATCTCTATTAAAAAAAAAAAACTGCTAGAAAATTTCTATTTGAAAAGGAAACTGTTTTCAAGAATCAAAGTGATCAGCTGCATTAAAATAATCAGAAAATATTGCGTGAATGGACTAGAGGGCCTGTGTGAACAACAATTCACCCTCTCTCTTTCTCTGTCTCTCCTATTTCGCACTCTGAACTTGTGAAGTCTAAAACATGGCTATCGTAAAGCCATCTTCCTTCTCCTTACTATACTTCTTGTCTCTTCTCTACATCCTCTCTGTCTTCCTCAACTACCTGTGTTGTTGCTCCTTCGTTGTTCTAGCCAGCTCGCATTTCGAAGGCTTCAAAGCCGATGACGAAGTTGGCTCCGACGACCAACCCATCAATCCCTCTTCTCTCCGATCACCACCCTTCACGCAATCTCACACCACCAATCTTGTATGGCAGTGAGATTAGTGGCACATAAGGTATCTGACTTTTAGTTCAGCAAGCTGGCGCTGAAGCCACTTCCTCTATCAGCGACCGTCATCGATGCCTTGGCTGCTCTCAAGACCTCCTGACGACAACTTCATCAGCGTCTGGAACTGCAGCGATCACTCCGTCGCTGATAGGATCAGCTTCACTGGGAATTAAATTTAGATTATTACCTATCTTTGAAATTAAATTTAGATTTAGAAAGGAATTTCTTGTTTGTTAAATTTATATTATTACCCATCTTGATTTTCATTTTCATTTTCCTTTACAGTGTGTGAGGGAAGAATTCATTTAGTGTTATGGGATCCCTTATTACAATGAAATTTTGACTTGCACGTCTTCTTCCTGGGGCTTGAATTACTAGCATAAAGATGATTTGTTTCATTGTCATCACATTGGACCTATCATGGTTTTCTGGGAAGGCTATGTGAGTGACGAAGTGATGGGCACGTTTGCCCCTATCAAGCATTTGATTCGCCATTTTTACTTTCGAACAAGATTCTCCTTGTAAACAACATCTTTGAGAGGCCTCCTTCGTTTTTGGGTATGGTTTTTTCCCTCACTATCTTGTTTGTTTGTGTAATGTTAGCTCATCTTCTTTGCTCGAGTAAATTGTATCATTTCATAATCTTCGACGGCTTGTCCTGTTTTATTACTCTTACTTGGGGAAAAAAATTTCTTTAGATCCATGTTGAATTTTCTAGATCTTGTATTCCTATTTGCTTTTTAGTCAATGTTCTGGGACTATTTCTCTTTCAATACCCTCAATCAAGCACCCCATTATTCGTCTATAAAATGACTTCTTGGCATATAGAAGATTATGCCACTAATATGGCAAATCTTTTCGTTCCCATCGATTACTCACCCAACCAAGCGTCTAAAATTTGCTTTCCGATTAGAAAATGCAGCAAAGTTCTTTGGGAAATAAATTTCAATATTTATAGCCTTTCTGGGTTCATATAAATCAAGCAACTAGTCTTTCTATGCTCAACTAGTTCTTTTTAAGAAGATTAATTAATAATTACTTAGGTTTAATTTATTAGTTTTGAAAATGTATTGCAATGAAGGGTGTTTTACTCTAACAGCTTGTTCAAGCAACCGTGGCACTATTATTGGTTAGTCATTTGATAATTGAGCTCGGGGGGAGGACACACATGGGGCAGGTAACACAGCTGGTGGTAATTTGGAGGATCAGCGTGAGGACAATATTGATGCTCAGATTTTACAAGTCACCTATATTGTTCAAACGGAGAATTTGGAGGATCATATCTTGCCTGTTGTTGTCAATGATAGTGCTGGTGATTTGGATGCAAAGGAAAACATTACTAGCTTATGAATAGGTGTTTGTTATAAGTTTGTGTAATGGATAGGTATTATTAGCTTATGTTCTTGTGTTTGCCTTTTTGGGAACATTTGTAGTTAACTTCTCAATATCATTGTTATCATTTTCAGGATATATTCATCAATAATTGCAAGGTATACATAAAAAAAAAATGGAGCAATTTCCTGAAAGAGATCAAAATAACAAACATATGACTTTTACATGAAAAATATATATTTACATGTAAACAACACATATTAAACTAAAAAACATTTGACTCTCACGTGTAGGCTTATAGTGCAAGGTTATGGGTTTGGGGTGCAAGGAAATAAACTTATGGTGCAAGGGGATAAGCTTGGGATACAATGGTATAGGGTTTGAGTGCAAAATGCAAGGGGATACATTTACAATGCAAGGGTATAGAATGAGGGTGCAAGGGCATAAGGGGATAGACTTACAATGCAAGGGTATAGGTTTAGATGCAAAGTGCAAAGGTATAGGTTTTGCGTGTAAAGGTTAGGCACTGACATTTTTGTTTGCCTTGTTTCTTGAGTTTTCATGTTATTCTTCATAGTTATCATGAAATCTAAAGGTACAATCATTTGCATGCCCTCTATTTGTTAAAATTACATGTAATTATTTATAATTATCATTGAAGGATGGACCCAGTTAATGTAACCTATCATCTTGATGTTAGTTTTTTTAGTTATCATGAAACCTAGATGTTTTTGTCATTTATGTGCCCTCTGTTTATTAAAATTACATGTAATTATTTATAATTTTTAAATAATTGTTTGTAATTGCACGTAACATTTGATAGTTATAATGAAAGATTGGGAACACAATAAGTTCCCCCTTGTTTATGTATTTTTCACGTATACCAAGCCAAATTTACTTATAAATGTTGCTCATTCAATAGTTTTGTTGTATCTCTGAGTTCCTCCAATTTCTTAACTGGATTCCATTGTCAAGAATAGCTGAGAGCTTTTATAGGCAAATAATACTAAGCTCAAAGGATCATCATAATTAATCTCAGATTCTAAAATCTAGATATTAAAGGCTTCAAATGTCCAGCTAAAGATTGTCAAGTGACAATCAAATATGGCGTTTTTCATTATCCTCACTCACTCTGGACCATCCAATTTCACAAAACTGAGGAAGAAAGATTTATCTACTGAAGATGTTATCATCTCACTCTAAAAACTTAATACAATTTAGAGTAAAAAAGCATCCATTGAATTTTTCACATTTCACTTATAGTGAAGTTCATTATTCATCTGAACCACTGCGCAACAATGATCTTTCTAATTATCATAAGACTCAACTTATACATGCAACTTGAATGATACTATAATATCACAACATGCCATATAACCGCATATTCCACTGGCAACGTTCCACTACAATTTCATCAAAAGTTTCAAGCTCATCACAGTGATTCCATGAAATGGAATTCTCAAGTGCACTGAATGATTTGCTACTTATATTAGACATGGATCAAGTAATCATAATATATTTTTCATTAGGAAAACTATACAGAATACAAAAACGAACATAAAACAATTACATCAGAATTCTTAAGGTGTTGTAAATCCTAACAGTGTGATCAACTGTGGCTCTAACTTGAGATAAAATGCTATCTATTGTAAATGTGTCATTAGTAAATATGCTTCAGTTTCTAGCATCCCATAATTTCCGGCAAAAGATGCTAACACCAATCTTCCAAGAATAATCTATGTGAGGGTTCTTTAAAATATCAGCCAGCCAGGTATCCAGACTTTTGCCATAAAAATCAATTTGCATATCAATTGGTAAGATTCTTCTCCATACTACAGCAGCGAGCGTACAATCTTTAAAAACATAATTTATGCTCTCTTGAGACTCGTCGCAAAGTGAGCATCGTTGGTCCATCGTATTAATCAGGAGCTTCCCTGTAATCATAATATATTAGTAACACAATGAAACAACAAATCGATTAAAAGTATGAAACAACACCCAACATGTGAAACAAATAAAGGGGTTCACGAGAAACAAGGACTAACACAGTCAAAACCAAGGACTCAATCAAAAAGCTAGAAACTCTAAACATTTGCAGTAAATGTAAGCTACAAGAAACCAATAAGTGGTTTATAAACAAATAAGAACCAATCCAGCGACAAGATTGAGCATGGCAACATCCCTAACACAAACTATCACATGCAGTAACATAGCCCACGCCAATTGAGTGACACCCATCTACTAACAGCTTTAAAAACCAAGAATAACACAAACATGCCTAGGAGTTGCAAAGTAGCAAGCCTAAACTCAAATTAATAGCCTCAGAAATAGGGAAATGTGACAAAAATTCATCATTTTAAGCAGCAGCAACATATCAAAATTATAATGTAAAATTCAAAGTGCAAACTCATCAGGAGAATCTAAAATTCATGAAAATGAACTGAACTAAAAATAATAAGAGCAGTGACAATCCAGAAAAATCCCAAAGTCATCAACCTCGCACCAAAAACAGTAATAATATGGAATTTACACGTTGTGCCTAGCTGACAGAGCAAATGAACCACAAAAGGGAAAACCCCACAGAATTAACCAAAAACCGAACCGGGGGGTGAAGCGAACGAAGCATAACCAAGTCAGTAATAAAGAACCTCAACGACGAGCGGAGGTTAGTGATGAGGAAGAGACGCCAAATTGGCAGAGAATCACGATCAGTGGTAGTCAAAGGGAGAATGGAGCGAAATGGACGAGGGGCAAGACACGATGAGAATGAACAGTGAGCAAGCACGGTGAAATCGAAGAGAATGCAAGCCATGGGGGTGTAGATAAGAGACAAGAAGTATAGTAAGGAGGAGGAAGATGGCTTTACCATAGCCATGTTTCAAACTTCACCAGTTCAGAGTGCGAAAGAGGAGAGGGAGAGAGAGAGAGAGTGTGTGAAGTGTTTGTTCAAAGGGACGTTTTGGTCCATTCATGCAATCCTTTAATGCACTTGATTCTTCAATTTATTTTGATCCTTGAGAATAATTTTCCTTTTAAGAAGGAATTTTTTAACAATTTTCTCTATTATTTATATATTTCATAAAATTATAAAATGTACATTATTTATATTTATAATTTACAAATAATATAACTTATTATACATCTCATTGTATATCGAAACGTGGTTAACAATACAATGGGCTTCATCCAAAAAACATAAAAAGTTACAAATGGCCACAACTTGAAAGATTTTATGGGCTTTGTTGGGCCTGTCCAGTCTTTTAGCCTTTCCTTTTTCGGTGAAATTCTTTTGCCTTTTTAAATGGCTATATTTTGTGAGAAGCCCTGTTATTCATTTTTGTTCCTGACCCAAAAAAAAAAATCATGTTTACTCTGGAGTTTAATTTTCTTACTCCATTTGTTTTATATCTTAAGGAATCTATTAAACCATAATAATTATTGTTGTTTCTTTAATTTAGATTAACCTGCGATCAATTCAGTATATTTTGTCAGATGAAATGCTTCTGTTGACTTTATAAAGCTTAACACAAATGACTACTTCGTGATTTGAGCGAAATAAAATAAACTTGTGAAAATATGTGCAAGCACATGATCTCTATATCTGGAATACATATGTTATTCATTAGGTTGAATCATCCCGCAAATCCAAGCGAATGGGAAACCGTCCCAGATTATTTTCTTCCTTTTTTTTTTCTCTTTTCTTTCTTTCTTTTTGTTTTTGTTTTTGTCAAAAAAAAAAAAACTGTCACAAAGGTTTTTCTGTCAACCGCGGGCTCGATCAATTTCATTACTAGATGTGATGTGTTTAATCAGCCTCATAGGACACTATTTACCAGACTAGAATAATCTTCATAGGGATTGGCATGTTAATTCGAATTTCATATATTGGGAGGCAATTTTTTTGAGCCATCTACCAGACATTGAGGCCTTTAATGGCTTGGATTATTTTATTAATATTAATTAACCCCCACCTTCCTGTCTCTAAATGGTGGAGGATGATAGGAAGCTTTGGGATAGAAAGGACTAGTTTTGCAATCTTGTTTGATTTCAGCATATTTTTGTTAAAAAAGAAAAGTAATTGAAGAGACAATTCCCCCCTCTTCCTTTCCATCCTCTTTCATTCATTTCTCTAATTTCCAACTATTACTCTAATTTGTAACCATTAGATCAAGATTATTAGACAGTCCACATTTGTTCTCTTATAAAATATGTTGTTTTGTTCTGTTTTTACTATGATTTTTTAATTGTTAATATTAAATTTTGGCAGTTTGAATTTTATTATTTATATTTTTTTATAATCTAACATTTTAATATTAATTTTAGAAGAAATCAAATATAAACCCTTGTAAATCTTGATCCAATGGTTAGAAAGGTAGAAGAAGGGAAGAGAATTAAAGATATATTTTTGGAACTGTCTCACCATCATTTGAACTTGGGGTTTCCATGGTTTTAATTTAAAATCGTATCCCACACAAACATTGCCCAGTTTACAAATTCGTTACGTTTTTTAAAGTAACAAAAAAAGCGATTACAATGCCATTTGATGAAAACAAAAGTGGCATAGACTAAAAGAAAAATCATAGGAGGGCGGTCAGGGACGTGAGGCCTATGAGTTATTACAAAATGTCTGTCCTGTGCACAAACAATTTCACGTTAAATAAAAAACAGTTCGTTTTTATGGGTTCAGAGTTCAGACACATTGCTCATCATTTACGAATGATATGATGTGTTATAATCACATGGTATATAAAATGAGACGCGCACGCGCAGATGGTTCCATTTATTTGTGAAAGACTGTGTTTACTAGAAACCAGATCTTGAGGTTCAAACAAAACAACCCAGTGCTGTGATTTCAAATTTCCCTACAGGTTTTAAATTTAATTTATATGTAAATCTTGATATTGTTATCATCAACATGTTCAATCGAGGCATAAAATTCATGTGACTGCTGAATAATAATAAGACAAGTAATCAGAATTGCTCGCAATAAAACTCATCTCAATAAAACCCAATTAAACAGCAGGCATTAGCAGGATGAATGCATATTTAGAGAAAAGTGGAACTAGGAGGGGTGAGCAATAATAATAAATCAGCCTCATAGGACACTATTTACCAGACTAGAATAATCTTCATAGGGATT